TTCTGTCTGTCCGTCGGTTTCGAGGTGGTATGATGAACTAAACTGTAGTCGCGTGCCGAACTGCTGCCACAGGTTCCGCTAGAAGTTGCTGGTGAATTTCGTGTCTCTGTCGCTGGTGATCGATGCTGGTATCCCGTGCAGTCGAACGACGGTAGAGATAAAGAGGCGGGCTGTTTCTTCGGCTGTGATTGATTTTTTGCAGGCTGCGAAGTGTGCCATTTTCGTCAGTCGATCGACGACGACCAGGATCGCGTCATTCCCACTTGCTCCGGCCGGTAACCCCGTGACGAAGTCCATCGTCACCTGCTGCCAAGCACGCTCTGGGGGTGGTATCGGCTGCAACTGTCCTGCCGGCCGCTTCCGTGATGACTTCATGATCTGGCAAGTGGGACACGATGCCACGTGTCGTTGAACGTCGGTCAACATTTCGGGCCAGTAATAATACCGCTGCAGCTGCTGCCGTGTTTTTTCTACCCCGAAATGTCCCGAGGTAACTCCGTCGTGTGCCTCCTGTAACAGTAATTCCCGTAGCAGTGTGTACCCTGGTACCCAGATGCGGTCGGTCCCGGCTTTTACGTAATAGACTCCCTTTGCTGCTGCGAACTGTTGCGAATGTCCTCCTGTGAAGAATGGATCCGTTTGGTACCCGTGGGTAAATAGGCCTGTCAGTAGTGGGCTGGTCTGGGCGAGTAGTATTGCATGGATCTGGGCAGTGGGGCGGGTCAATGCGTCGGCGATGTTCGATGCCCCTTTTTTGTAGGTGACTGTGTAATGGAAGTTTGACTCGAGGAAATCGAGCCAGCGAACCTGTCGTGGGTTGAGGTGGGGCTGTGCGCGGAGATACTGTAGTGATTTATGATCTGTCCGTACTGTCACGTCTGCGCCGGTCAAGTAACAGCGCCAAACCTTGAATGCATGCACGATCGCGAGCATTTCGCGGTCGTGTATCGGGTAATTCTTCTCGGGCGGATGCAGTATTCGTGACTCGTATGCGATGGGCTGTAAACCGTTGCCAAAATCCTGTAGCAGTACGGCTCCAATGGCGATGTCGCTTGCGTCTGTAACTACTTCGAATGGGCGGTGTGGGTCAGCGATGCGTAGTACGGGCGGTGAACAGAGAACATGTTTCAGGGCAGAGAAGGCAGCATGCTCTTTCTCCCCCCACGTAAAAGTGACCCCCTTCCGCAGTAAATCCGTCAGTGGGGCAGTTAATCGTGCCATATCGGGGACGAACCGACGCACATAATTAACGAACCCTAAAAAGCTCTGTAGCTCCGTGATGTTCGTCGGGGGGTGCCACGCGTTTACCGTGTCCAGCTTCTTGGGGTCGATTTCAACTCCAGCCTCCGAAATAACGTGCCCCAAAAATTCTAACCTATCCTGGAAGAACTCGCACTTGGAACCCTTGGTCAGTAATCTGTGCTCGTCTAAAACCTTAAATACTGCTTCCAGATCTGCTAAGTGCTGCTGCTTATCCCGACTGTAAACTAGGATGTCGTAGAGGTAAACTATCACGCATTTATCTAAGAGCGGCCTAAACGCCTCGTTCATGGTCATCTGAAAAGTCGCCGGTGCGTTGGTCAGCCCGAATGGCATCACGGTGTACTCGAATGATCCATACCTAGTTCTAAATGCTGTTTTTACGCAGTCCGATGGTTCGACCCGAATCTGGTGGTAACCTCCCCGTAAATCTATTTTCGAAAAAACCCGTGCTGTTCGCAGCTGGTCGATCAGTTCGTCGGCGCGGGGAATGGGGTATCGCGACTTGACTGTTACCCGGTTCAGTGCTCTGTAATCGATGCACATGCGAAATCCCCCGTCTTTTTTCGGTGTGAACAGTATCGGTGCGGCGAACGGTGACGAGCTCGGTCGGATGAATTTTTTCTCTAACAAGTAGTCTAACTGCTTCCTCAGCTCATCGAGCTCGGGCTGTGTTAGTCGGAACTGTCGCTGTACGGTTGGCTGTGCCCCGGGTTCTAACTCTATGCGGTGGTCGTGTGCTCGCTGAGGTGGCAGTCCCTCCGGTAAGTCGTCGGTAAAAATCCCCGGGTACCGTTTCAATAGCTCCTGCAGTTCGGGCGGTACCGCTGTCAGCAGTTTCTGAAAATCGCTCGGCTGCCCTGCTTCTCCTACCAATGCTATATCCACTGCGTACACGTCAGCTCCAGCGGCGACAGCCCGTTTCATCGTGATAGCGTTGACGTGGACCGTTGAGGACTCGGGCGACTGCCAGCGAGGTAGCACGATCCAATTACCGCTACTTCGCACAGTGCAGCTACCCGTCGTCCAGTCGATTCGCGGGTTATACCGTCGCAGCCAATCACGTCCTAGTAAGATGTCGTGCCCATCCAATGTCGTCGCGATCATTTCCTGTGTAAACCCAAAATTCCCCCCGCAGCGGACCTTTACTTTCTCCACCTTCTCCCGTATGGCCAGCGGCGTTCCGTCCACTAAGCGTGCATCTATTTCCGGTAAACACCGACTAAGTGTCAGTTGCAGCTTCCGTGCGGTTGCGGTTGTGGCTTGCTCCTCCATCTATAAAGATTTTCACTGCTGCTCCCTGTACTTTCCCGTGAATCAGTACTGGGCAATCCGTCGCTGTACCCTCCTTATTCATCCGAGCCCGATCGATAGCGTGAATCGGTACTGTGACTCGGTGAGGGTCGGTGTGGTTGGGCGAGCAGGCAGTCTCGTCAGTAGTTGGCCCGATTCCTACTGACTGCTGGCGTTTCCCTGCCTTAGAGACTCCCTCCCCTGCTCTGCTCCGCGGCGCCTCAGCTCCTCTGGGCACTCACTCTTACGATGGCCCGGCCTATTGCAAGCGAAGCAGCGCCCCTTAAACGGCGCGGCAGCTGCGTTCGTCGCAACAGCGTGTACAGTGGCGTGCTCGATTGGTCCCCGAGGGCGATGTCCGTAGTAGGACCCCGGTCTCGGGCGGCGTAAAATGTCGATTTTCTCGACGAGCGCGAGAATCTCGTTGAAATTCGAGAGTCCGCGTAGCATGATTTCGTGCGAGATGTCCGGTTTCAGCCCTCCGACGTAACGGTCCACCCGCTCCGCTTCGTGCATGTAGCCGACTTGCTCGCATAATGCGAGAAAACCGCTCGTGTAGTCTTGGACCGATCCGAGCTGCCGCCAAGTACGCAGTTTCTGACGCGCCGAAATAGAAGCCGCGATCGGCTCGAAGCGCGCCCGAAGTCCTGCGCACCACGCATCCCACGTGCTGTATTGGGCGGTTTCGCAGAATGAACTCCAGGTGACAGCTGGGCCCGTGGGCCCTTCCTCTTGCGATGGTGGCTCGTAGGCGCGTGGCGACGTCACGATGACTCGCCACCAGTCCATGGCGGGGCCCCTCAGCAGCGAGACGGCGTATCTGATCTTCGCTGCGTCCGACTCGACGTAGTTCGCGTCGAAGAAGACATTCATCGTGAAAACCCACGATTGAACCGTCGGACCTCCACGTTGGCTCGGATCGAAACAGGGCGGGCGCTGCGGCTTGAGTGGCATTGGTGCCATGATGTCGTGGTTGCCACTTGTTGCTGCAAACTCCACGTGCCGACGAGCTTCGCGAGGCCCACGCGGGCTTGGCGCGGCCCGATTTCTCTCCATGCCAGGCATCGATTGAGCGGCGCCATCACTAGCTGCGCCTGAGCGCTGTCCCACGCTGTCGTTTTGCGTCGGTGTGCCGAATGAGATGACGATTGGTTCTTCTGATTGCACAGGTGCATTTGCGGGTGCTTGTGATGGAGCTGGTGCATTCACCGTTGATTGCTGGCGGGCGGAGTCACGTTCCGCCGTGAGTGTCGCGATTTCGAGTGCCGAATCTTCGAGTTGACGCACGAGACGGTCGAGCTGCTCCTGCGTCAATGTCGCAAGATTAATGTCGGCCATGGCGGGGGTGTCGGGCAAACTCAGCGGGAGCCTCTGTCGTGGCCGTGCGTGCTTACGAGAGAGCACTTCGAGCGGCGGTGCTTGTTCGCTGAGAGACGTCTACCCCCCCAAAAAATTGAGATAGTGGGGAAGCGAAGGTGTGGGTGCGGTCCGAGAAGAGATCGTAAGCTCTGAATACCAAGTGTTACGAGTGCAATTGAATGAACGAGCGAGAATTGCACTATCGAAGCAAGAGTAAAATGAGCGAAGGCATGAGCGAAGAATATATAGCGAAACTACAGTGGTAACGGTAATGTGTGAAAAGTGGGGTGCGCGACGGGCCTAGTGCCGAGGTTGGGAGATGTCGAGGCAGAGGTCCGGAGCGCGGGTTACCAACCGAACCGTGAGGCTGGGTCGCGTCGTGAACTGTGGCGGGAATGGTGTCGAAGCGAGTGTCGCGAGTGGTAACGGATTACTGTTGGGTGCTGCTGGCGGGAACAGTGGTGTACGCGCTGAGCAGGGACGCGAAGTAAGGAAAAGGGATTTTCCTTACACAACCTTAGGAAGGATGGTCGGGAATGTTTCCGCGATTGGCCTGCGAACTTTGGTTGTGTCCAGATTGTTGGACGATGTTCGCGTGCTAACGGAGGTTCGCCAAAGTTACCAGGGTTGAAATGCGACATGAACACCCCCACTCATCAGTCGCACAAAGCCCAGAGCGACAACTCACATCAACCCGCCTCACAATTTCATTTTCCAACACCACGCGCGACATTGTTACGGAGTAAACTACTACGACTACAATTAGCTAGAAAGTTGAGCTCATAGCACAGTATTACGGTGCTATCGTCAAGTAGGTTGAGGAACGGCAGTAATAGCGAACCCAAAGCCACGCCTGGAAACATTGGCACTCGCTGCGAAATCGAATTGACACACTGCACGCAACGAAAACCCCAGTAAGTACAAAAGCTGGCAAGCAGACGATTCCAGTCTCTTACTCTCCGAGTAGGGCTTGCGCGCGCCGCCAGGTCGTTACGCCACGATTGAACATTTCCCGCGAATGTATTATACAGCCTAGGCGCCACGGTTACCCTAACCTTACGTCGCGATTTCCAATAAGCGCTCGCAGCATGACCTTTCCGCTCACGCAAATTCCCAGGTCTTCCCTCACGCCTCTGCACCGCCCTCCCCTCACACCTCCGGTGCCGGCTGTCCGTCGTCCGACTCCCCGTCCCTTCATCTCAGTACCGTTCCCTTCCCTTGCTTAGAGTTCCCTTCCCTTCCCGTCCCGTCCCATCCTTTCACTCCCCTTGCCTTCCCTTCTTCCCCCCCCTTCCCCCTTATATCTTCCCTTCCTCTTATTCTCTCCTCACACGAGGTAATACCTCGGACTCTCTCCGATCTTCTCTTCTTTACTCCCTCTCTCTGCCCTCCCCCGCTTTCCTCTACTTCTCCCCTTTCCCGCATTCACACCTGCCTCACATTGGTCCGAGCCCCAAACACTCCTGTTCTCTTCCCATCACGCTCCTATACCCGTCCCCTTCCACTCACGCATCCAACCCCTTCCCTACCCCTCCCGCTTCCATTCCATGCGGCTTCCTCTTCCCTTCTCTTCCACTCCCGCATCCATTCCCTTCCCTTGACCCGTACATTTCCCGAGGGCATCACACATCCAGTCCCTTCCCCGCACGGACCCATTCCCTTGGCCGCACACTCCATTTCCTACCCCCCACTCTTCCACTCCCTTCCACTCAGGCATCCATTCCCTTCCCTGTTGACCACCCAGGTTCCTTCCCGCCCTTTCCCCCACTCCCCCACGTAAGGGGAACCCCTATTGCCCCCCGGACTATATTTCCCATTTCCCGGGAGAAACTTTCCCCCCGTGTCTAAGTCCCTTTCTCCCCCTGTCATCCTCCCTTTCCCCCCCTCCTACCCTCCCTTTCCCCCCCTCCTACCCTCCCTTTCCCCCCCTCCAACCCTCCCTTTCCCCCCCTCCTACCCTCCCGTTCCCCCACTCCTATGCTCCCTTTCCCCCCCTGTCATCCTCCCTTTCCCCCCCTGTCCTCCTCCCTTTCCCCCCCTCCTACCCTCCCTTTCCCCCCCTCCTACCCTCCCTTTCCCACACTCCACCTCGTCCGTCTCCGCACTCCCTCACGGCCTTTCCCCCACTTCCCCCAGTCCAATCCCCCCTGTCGTCCTCCCTTCCCCCTGCGACCCCTGTCATCCTCCCTTCCCCCTGCCACCCCTGTCATCCTCCCTTCCCCCTGCTACCCCTCTCATCCTCCCTTCCCCCTGCTACCCCTGTCATCCTCCCTTCCCCCTGCCACCCATGTCATCCTCCCTTCCCCCTGCTACCCATGTCATCCTCCCTTCCCCCTGCTACCCATGTCATCCTCCCTTCCCCCTGCTACCCCTGTCATCCTCCCTTCCCCCTGCTACCCCTGTCATCCTCCCTTCCCCCTGCTACCCCTGTCATCCTCCCTTCCCCCTGCCACCCCTGTCATCCTCCCTTCCCCCTGCTACCCCTGTCATCCTCCCTCCCCCCTGCTACCCCTATCATCCTCCCTTCCCCCTGCCACCCCTGTCGTCCTCCCTTCCCCCTGCCACCCCTGTCACCCTCCCTTCCCCCTGCTACCCCTGTCATCCTCCCTTCCCCCTGCCACCCCTGTCGTCCTCCCTTCCCCCTGCCACCCCTGTCATCCTCCCCCCTGCTACCCCTGGAGCCAGAAACGGATCCCAGCCACGCTGCAGCATCTGCAGCTGCCGCCGCTGGTGAGCGTGCTTCTGCAGTGCAATCATCGACTCAAACGCCCGCACTTTAGCCGACACAGTGCTCATGCGCACACCAGACCGCAGCGACGGATGCACGGAGGAGCGCAGGAACGGCCGCGATGGTGACGACGAGGGCGATGGGGACGACGGTGCAGCGGATAGTGCAGAAGGAGGTGCGACTGCAGGCGCAGCAGGTTAAATCTCAGGTGCAATGACAGGTGAAAGTGGAAGTGCAAGTGGTGATGATGATGAGGCCAGAGATGGAATTTCAAGCAATGCTTTCTCCGTCGTCTCGCTTTCCACCACTCCTTCCGCTTCACTTCCCTTTCCTGCCTTGTCCATCTCTCCCGCTCCCCCTCCTCCCTCCATCGCCTTCTCGCCTGGTACTTGAGCATCCTCCCCTACAGTATGAAGCATGCCAGATGCGGCAGAGGCAGCAACAACAGCCGTAGCAGCAGCAGCAGCAGCAGCAGCAGCAGCAGCAGCGATAGAAGCCGAGGAAGCAGCATCACCTACTCGCCTCTCCTCCTATCGCACCTACTCCGCTTCCCTGCTATCCTCTTCCTGCGTCCCTTCCAAGTGTACACCCTCCCAACCTCTGTCTTTGTTCGCCCACACACCTTGCTCCCTCTTTCCTTTGCACTCGCACACACCTCTCCATCTGTCCATTGCTCTCTCACACACCCAGCTCCATCTGTCCGCCGCACACGCTCTCCTCTCTATCCCTCTGTCGTTCCTAAACTCCAATATCCCCTAGCTCACTATGTCCTCCAATCACTCTCCACCCGTGCCCCTTCTCCGTCCTGCCGGGATTAGGTCCTTTGCTCAACCCGCCTTGCCCTCAGCGACACCTTAGCCTTGCGTCCCCCGGCATGCATTCGCGTCCCCACCACTCTCGTGTGGAAGAAGGGGGGGAGACTGAAGAGAAGGAAGAGTAGTAACATGAGAAAGAGGAGGAAGAGGAGGAAGAGGGGAGAGAGGAGGTGGTAGTGAAGGAAGTGTTTTGTAATGGTACCACGGTAGCCATCTGATCACGACCCAGAGATTGGCAACGTGCGTTTGTTCGGAGTGGTTGTGTAACCGGCGATCACAGAACATCCGTTGATACATCGATTCTTACGATGATGATTGGAAAAAAAGCCGTACAAGTTTTATATTGCAAGCCGGTGGCATAAAACACACAGTGAAAATGATTCATGCGACAAGTATGGTGGCAATGGTAACATGGAAAGACTACGGAAGTCAAGCTCACAATGGCTCCCTTTAGTCAGTTACTGTGGCGGTCGTACAAGACACCTCATGGGCGATGCCCCCCAATGTTAGATCAGCTGTGCCTGGTGTTGACTAGGACCAATTCAGTGCTCGAGACTAAGAAACACACGGGGCATGCATATAGTAGCCAACGGAGCACCCATATCCCCGGCCCCTAGGCTCTCTCATCCCATCCCTGCAATGCCACTCTTGATGTGCTTTCTTCTTCCGCTCCACACTGCCCCCGCTCTGCTCTCCCCCCTTGTCCTCCCATTTCCTTCCGTCTGCCTCCCTGCCGTCTCTTCCCAACCGGGAAAACGAGTGGAGATAGAGACAGGAGGGTGAAGGGAGGGGGGGAGGTTGAGGGAGGGCGAATGAATGGGGGAGCACGAGCGAGGGAGAATGAATGGGGGAGAGCGGGGGAGGGAGAATGAGAGGAGGAGGGAGAATGAGAGGGGGAGGTCGAGGGAAGGAGAATGAATGGTGGAGCGCAAGGGATGGTGAAGGAGAGGGGGAGGTTGAGGGAGGGTGAATGAATGGGGGAGCACGAGGGAGGGAGAATGAGAGGGGGAGAGCGGGGGAGAGACAATGAGAGGGGGAGGTCGAGGGAAGGAGAATGAATGGGGGAGCGCAAGGGAGGGTGAATGATAGGGGGAGGTTGAGGGAGGGTGAATGAATGGGGGAGCACGAGGGAGAGAGAATGAGAGGGGGAGAGCGGGGGAGGGAGAATGAGAGGGGGAGGTCGAGGGAAGGAGAATGAATGGGGGAGTGCAAGGGAGGGTGAATGATAGGGGGAGGTTGAGGGAGGGCGAATGAATGGGGGAGCACGAGCGAGGGAGAATGAATGGGGGAGCACGAGGGAGGGAGAATGAGAGGGGGAGGTCGAGGGAGGGAGAATGAATGGGGGAGCGCAAAGGAGGGTGAAGGAGAGGGGGAGGTTGAGGGAGGGTGAATGAATGGGGGAGCACGAGGGAGGGAGAATGAGAGGGGGAGAGCGGGGGAGGGAGAATGAGAGGGGGAGGTCGAGGGAAGGAGAATGAATGGGGGAGCGCAAGGGATGGTGAAGGAGAGGGGGAGGTGAGTGAGTGGCGGAGGTGAGTGAGAGGCGGAGGTGAGTGAGTGGCGGAGGTGAGTGAGTGGCGGAGGTGAGTGAGTGGCGTGTCAGAATGTGATGTTTGTCTAGCCTGCAGTGGGGTACTCTATAGCGAGTACAGCCCAAATTAGGGTTTGCTATATGTACTCAACTGCCTGCTAGTGAAAACCCCTTCTTTCCTGTTTCTGATTCTTGCCTATAGTTTCGACATGGCGGAGGTGAGTGAGAGGCGGAGGTGAGTGAGTGGCGGAGGTGAGTGAGTGGCGGAGGTGAGTGAGTGGCGGAGGTGAGTGAGTGGCGGAGGTGAGCTGCGATTGCGTCCCCCCCTGCCCATGCATCTCCGTCTGCCCATGCAACTCCGCATGCCCGTAGGTTGCAATGACGCCCCTAAAGTCGCGACCTAAGAGTGTCGCAAAGCGCTGCGGGGAAAATTACGACCTATTCGCGACGCGATGAGCCGCGCGACTCACGTCGACCTAAGGTTGACATAGGCATCGTCTGCGCTGCGAACGCGCGACCTGCATGGCGTCCGAATGCGACGGCGCAAAAAGCCCGAGGCACCCCGCGAGGCAATGCGCGAGGCGTCCCGCTCCGATTACCTTCCACGCATATTGCCTACGCTTACGATACGGCCGCCGATTTTTTACTTTATCTTCACGAGCGTCCCGCTTGTAAATTTCTATCTTCCCTAGTCCATACCTCTATATTATCCGGCAATGTCGCTATCTCCGGCGCTTACCTACATTAGCCGTTTGTATTTCGCGAATCGCGCGTACGTGCGATGCGGTATGTCGGCTTGTAGGCAGTCTAAGCGTGTCCTATAGTGGTTCTCAAAACTCGGGAATAATCAGAGGCGTTGTGGGACAAGTTTCTCTTGCCTGTGTGCTCATGTCTAAGCAGGATTGGTGTTGGGCGACAAAACCGTGCGATGAGGCCCAACTGGGGTGTTGTCGTTGCTACAGTATTTTCGTTTGGTGATTGAAGGCGACGTGGTTTGTGGGTGTCAACCAAGGCTCAGCTGGAAACAGGGTTACACCCAACCATCCTTAGGAAGGATGAACCAATTTCGCCTTTCTTGACCCCCGGGTTTTAACACGTTTGGTAACTCGCTTAACGCGTATGGTAACTTACCACAGGCGAGTGATCACGCGAATGGTAACTACATGAAACTCCCGCCAAAATGATCCTGACAAAGAGAAATTTATCGACTTTGAAAGCTTTTACGCACAGTTTTATCTTTCTTGAACAAGTCCCGCCGCGACTTTGAAAGACCCCGTTTGTTCTATTACCACGGACCGAAAAGTTTCAGAGCCGTTTTATATATATATGTAGCTCGTACAAAAACGGTTAAAAACATATTTTTGATAGCATGATTGCGAACTTGCAAAATGATAAAAAACATTCCCTGAAAGGACCTCGGGGCTTTTACTTTTTTTGTAATTACTGCAACGTTGGAGAATTTTTGCATATGGGAAAAATACAAATCTTTAGAATTATATGTTTCATTATTTAAAAAAAAGAACCATAAACGCCTTGTCACAAGAAGTTTAGGGCTGATGCTCTCAAATTCATTTGCCATCTGAAAGGTGTATATATTTGTTTGCCCCGGCTGCTCGATAGAATGAAGTAGAAACAGTTTGCGGAAAGAGCGCCAGAATTTCAGTTATGCCTGAACAGTTTCACAACACTTACGTTTTTTCAATTAGCTTAAAAATCGGAAAGTGTGTCAGGATTTCGGAAAGTGTGTCAGAATTTCGAAAACTGTGTCAGAATTTCGGAGAGTGTGTCAGAGGTTCCTTCTTCAAGATTCGTCAATTTAGTCTGACACGAGCGGGAAAAACCAGAATCATGGTCATTTTGGGCGAGGGTTTCTTCTAGTAACCATTCGAGTTATGGGTTGCTAGTGTATAGTTACCATACGCGTTAAGCGAGTTACCAAACGTGTTAAGCGAGTTACCAAACGCGTCGAAATCGTTACCGTATGCGTTATAGTGCCCCATGTAAGTTACCATTGACATATTTTCCCTTGAAAACAGCCTTCGCACAACTCCCCATCTTGGACAAGTTACACGCCGTGACCTGTTGTTATGAGTTGTACTAAAGAAGATTGCGCAGAATGCAATATCGCGGAAGTGATTACAACTACTGAGCAAACAACGAGGCCTAGACATAATATAGCAAAGCTAGCTAGGCCGAGGTCGCGGAGTCGCGAGATGGTTGGGTGTAGGTTTGGGTTGGGAAACCCGAAGGCGACGCGAGGGACGTTCGAAAGGCGAGGTCGTCGGACCGAGCCTGAACTCCGAGAGTTGGAATTGTACGCGTACGGAGTGCCTCAGTAAGGAATTAGGAAAATTCCTTACACTACCCCCCCCCTATAAGAAAGGTGGTCAATATCAGGCACGCGTCGCTGGGAAAGATAATCCCGTAGTACCGAGTGGCCTTGTAGTGAGTCAGCCGAGACCCACGTGTCATCTTCGCTTGTGCAATCCACCCAACGTAGGAGGAAATCGACGTGGCGTCCAGCCGAGGGTCGCACTGATGCGATGGTTCAAAATCTTCCAGGGCGGCAGTGTCGGGTCTACCACAGGCCGAACACTTGGCGCGGTGTTGGGGCGGGCGATGTCGGACGGCTGCGGAGCCACGTAATGGCAGAGCAGGCTGATGTGGAAAGCATCGTGGATTTTCCAGTCGTCCGGTAGCAGAAGTTTCGCCGTGACCAGGGTCAGCATCCGAATGATGCGGAAAGGTCCCACGTAGCGGGGACGCAGTTTAGCAGGTTGGGGCAGTCGAAGGTTTTTCGTGTCCAGAAGGACCATCTGCTTGTCACGGAAGGGTAAGTTCTGTCGATGTCTGTC